CTTTTATAATCTTTTTTAACCCAAAAGCTCCTCTGGCAGCAGAACGTCAAACAAGCGTCGTTCTTCGGGCCTTGTGCTGCGTTCGTCTGGTTCATGTGGTTAAATGACATACGAGCAAATAAAGTGGCTCATTGAAAATAAGAGGCTATTGGCTGTTCTGAGTCACGCATACAGCACCGTGAAAAAGTTAGAGACCCTTCATTTATTCACTTCCAGTCAAAACACTTATTAAGTGCAGGTTCTTCATTATCAGCTCCGTCTTGTTTGTCGATGGCTGGCGTCCAGGAAGCGGGACCTGGTCAGGACTGGAAGTGGATTAGGATTTTTTCAGAATACAGTGAAAGGATGGAAGAAGGATGGAGTTTATTTTAAATGATAATAGTAAGTTAAGTAGGTAAACTTTATTTATGTAGCATTTTTCCAAGACAAGTTCCACAATTTAGGAGCACACAGCAAATGCAGAGTCTCCCCTTCGCTTCAGTTCAGTTCTAGGAACAGCAAGAAGCCCTTATCAGAGGATCTCAGCGACCTGGTACTTGTATGGGGAACTAACAGTTCACAAGTATATTCAGGTGCTTCAATGTGTAGAGCCTTACAAGTAAGAACCAGTACTTAAATAAATAATAATAATAATAATGATAACAATAATAATAATAATAATAATAATAATAATAAAATGTTGTTATTAATAATAACAGTATTGACCAGTCTTAATTCAAACTCTATTTTTCTAATATTTGGAATCAAATAAAAGTAAAAACATTTCTCCGTTTCTTCTTGATCTTGATGTGAATCTGTATAAACTACAAAATTGATCAAATGAGCAATGAAAAACAGTGTATATGAGATTTTGTGTAAAAATCATAAAAGCATGGTTTGGCATTGTTCAATGTCCTGTATTTAAAATGAAAAGTCACTTAAATTGTAAATAAAACATAGTTTGGAATTTTAATATAAAAGGTTGTGCAAAATAAAATAGGAGAGTAATAACTGATCAAAGTAAAGGTGGAATGGTTAACATTTCGCTGCTGTCGGAAGAAAATCTCATATCTCTTTTTTGTCGTTTTTCAGTTTATGACATAATTTGAAAATACCTGCTGCTCTTTACACTGTGTGTAAATTTCATGGTGAATGGACAAAAAGAAACGACCCAAAGTTACTTGGGAAAAGTTCTGGTTCCGTTGACTTACATTAAAAGTAGAGTAGGTTTTTTCCTTCTGCTGTAAAGTTACTATTTTGGAGATACGAGATTTCCTTCTAACAGAGATATGTTCGTTTTTGTTGGAGGGGCTCATTTTTTCTGTTTAAATGCGTTAGAAATTTTCAGCAGTTATTTGCTGCTTGCATCATTGAACACAAAATATCAGCACAAGCTTGTTTTATAGCATAAATCAAGCAGAATGGTGGTAAATTAACCAAAATTAACCAACCCATTTTCTTTTCTCACTATTGGCATTAAGCGTTGGTCATTATTATCCGAGTTTGATCCCTGATGATGCTACAGTTGTCCATGTTCGGGGGTCCAAGAGAGCACAGTTCTCTCCGCTCTCTCTGGGTGGGTAACACGGCCCCCATCTCCCCTATCACTCAGCGCGATGCTGGCTGACGTAACAGATCTGGCGGTTAGCGTCTCCTCTGAGCGCGTTCGGCTGTCCAGTGACGTTGCGTGAGCGGCAGTTTGAAAAGACGTGGTGGTGCTTCACGTCTTCACAGGTCACAGGTGGTACCGTGTGATTGGGGGAGTCCTAACTAGTGGGTGGAATTGGAGACGACTAAAGCCTTGACTTCACTACACGACTTTTAAAGTCCTGACACATTATAACAGACTGGGAGTCTCACACTGTCAGACTGGGTTCTGATTTTTTTGGATCCACACTGAACGATTAGAGATCACACACTGCTCAACTTTAAAGCTGTTCCTGAACCGAATGGAGCTCACTGAACTCACAGTAAAGAAGCAGCAGGTAAACATGTTTAACTGAGGATCATGGATTAAAAATGTGTTTTTTTTGTTTTTTTTTTTGTTTTTTTTTTGAGTTTTAAATGTACATAAACTCGATTGAGTCTTAAACTCAGCTCATTAAAAAGCTTCGCTCCACACGTGAGAGACTTTTCACCATTTTTCCTTGTTTACTTGCTGTATTTTCTTCTTCCGCTCTCAGTTTTCACTGGTTGTTGCAGGAATCTGTTCAGATTGAGTCGTTGATCAGTTTACACTAGATTACTCTCAGAGTCGGGTCAATCAATCAAACATGTTTCATGAACTCTGACTGGTCTAAAATCTGATCGGGAGACCAAAAATCTGAGTCTGCGCTGCTCACGCACGACTCGACTCTCTCCAACTGTCGACTCCGACTGACTCAAAAATCTGCAGACTAGAGCCGACCAGCACGGACTCAGGCTGAGACTCAGGGCTAAAATCGGGGTAAAAGTCGTGTAGTGTAAGCCCGGCTTAATTTGGGGAGAAAATTGGGAAAAATCCCCCAAACAAATATTGTGTACTGTTTGGTAATATTTTACATTTCTTTCTTATTATTAAATCATCCAGCATCATCACTGGCCTTCTAAGGACCACTGCCCCTCACCATGGCCCATCGGCCACCAGAAGATGGTCCACGGCCCAGTGGTTGAGAAAGCCTGGGCTAAATAACACCTCACAGATGGTTTTATGCAGCCAGAACAGTACGAAATATCAGAAATACTAGCTGCTAATTATGCTCGCGGACTCAGCGAGGACTGAGACATTGAGAAATATTCAGATCTTGGTGTGAATTGGCGTCAGTTCTACAGCGCAGGCCGTCTCGGTGGTCCGAACCTCAGTTCGCTTCTTCCAGGAGTCAGAAGTTCATGAATTCCAGAAGGAAAAAGAAAAAAATGATCTACTTCTTCTAGAAAGCTGTTGGCGTTTTGTACCGTGAGGTGAAAGGGATGTTCTAAAGCGGTACCGCGGTTCCCAGAAGAAAGCAGTGATTACACACAAACCGCCGATTAGACGTTCCACACGTACCATCAGGGCCAGAAAATAAAAGATTGCGGTCTTTCTGCGTCCTTTTGGTGCTTATCTCCTTTTCTTGCAGTTTCTTAGCAACCAAATATTTTACGTCCTGCACTTTCACCTTTTGTTTGAAGGCCGCTAACATTAGCCGTCCAGACGGTAATTTGACCATCGATATGGTTCAGATTGTATGTCATTATTGTGGAAGTGATACTTAGGTGTTTGATTATACGTTGTTAAACACTGACATTAAGCCGTGCGCCGTATCTGAGCAGGATTTAGCCTCTGGTGCTGAAGCTGCACGTGTTTGGGATTTTGCTCGGGTCTTTCCGCCGAGGTCACATAACGTGCAGCAGAGTTATCCTGAAGTGCAGAAGCGGCAGAGTGAACCAGATTACCTTCCTGTTGAAATGATAATCCATCAGAATGAAGAACGTCTGATTTAAGCTTCTGTGTACAGATGAATGGAGCTGAGCCTGTAACATTATTAATGATATTGTAATTGGAAATAATGATATAATGAGGATAAGTGGTGAAGATGAAGGGGATAATGATACGCACACCAGTCAGCACCCCCCCGGCACATTTTACCCCAAGAGCAGTCGAGCCAAGACGTGTTTGGTGTCAGAAGTTTGCTTCATTCATTTTAGCACTGGAGCTACGAGGCTAATGTAGCTAACAAGTAATGGGAGTTCATGCTCCACCAGTTAGTAGTAATACTAACAATAATTACAATAATAAATGATATTAATACTACTAATAATAATGCCGCCACGGACCTCTCTGCCATCTACCACCACCTATAATGGCACTGCACCGGTCCCCCATGCTGGACCTTGCAGGTGGTGGGCCCCATGTTGCCTTTTTGGACTGAGCCCAGCCAGGTTACGTGGGCTGCCCGGTCCCCAGGCTCCCCAGCTGAGGAACACTACCCACCATGCCTGGCTCCCGGTAACCCTCTCCCGGGCAGGATACACGATATATTGTGTCCCTTATTCATGGAGCATTTTGGAGGTCATACAGGAGGAGCTCAGCGTAGAGTGGCTGCTCCTCCATATTGAGAGGAGCATGTTGAGGTGGTTCAGGTGCCTCCCGGTGGGGGTTTACCAAGCGCGGCCTACTGGGACGAGACCCCGGGGTCGTCCTAGGACCCACTGGAGGGATTATATCTCCAAGTTGGCCTGGGAGCAGCTCAGGGTTCCAGGAATGAGCTGGAGGAAGTTGCGGGTGACAGGGTCATCTGGGATTCTCTGCTCTCCCAACTGCTACTGTGACCCTATCTGGACTAAGCGGTTAAAGATGATGAATGAATAATGATGATAATAATAATAATAATAATAATAATAATAATAATAATAATAATAATATCTTTATCTATCGAGCACTTCACACCAGTGGCAGCTCAAAGTCCTTTACAGCTTAACAGTAATGGAAATAACTGATTAGCATAATCAAAAATGATATGAAGCTGTTAAGTTGTCTCTGTTTTGCTTCAAAGTTCATTCAGTTCATCAAAGCTGCATAAAACGTAGCACAGTTTTCACTGTTTTCAATGTCTGATTCATGAAACCTTCATACAGTGTGAAAACAAGCGGCAATTTGAGCTCAAACGAAGAATCCGCTTCAGTGCATGAAATCAAGCGCCGACCCACCCGCACCTCATTTACATATCATTTACATGGAGCGCGCCCTGATTCATGCAGATGTCTCAGTAAAACGACAGCAGCATTTAGCGGCTCGTGAGCCAATGGCTGTGCTTATAGGCGGAGTTTGAGGTTGAGCAGTGCTCCCCCTGCTGACCAAACTTATGTCTTTGAGTTTTGGGTATTTCCAGAGTTTATGATTCACAGGTTGGGTTTATTTGTGTTCTGTATTCGTCGTGTTGTTCACACTAAAGCTTTATGTTTCTATAAATCTGTTTGAGTTCTTTGTCCCTTCCCCCGCTCTCCTTCTTTCTGCGTCATTAACCTTCATTCTCTGTGTTCTCTTTGATTTCCCGCTGCAGCAAAGGATGATGGGAGCGTGGCGGTCGCCCTTGGTTACACGGCTCACCTGGTGCTGATGATTTCCTGCTTCCTGCAGATCCCACTCAGGTATCCCCTCATTCACAGGGGCTCGCGCTCGTCCGTCAGAGACACCATCACCGACAAGCTGAGCGAGAAAGAGAGAGAGTAAGAGTTTCACACGTCTACACAGTTTATAACGTATACATATACATGTAACGTGTGCACGTGCTTTTTTCTGAAAAAAAAACAGATCTCAGTGATTCAGTTTGGTTACAGTTCTTTAGGAGGTGAATCAGTGAATCATGAAATCTCAGATTTCACCTATATTTGATTCTTTGATTTGGTTATTGTTGGGGAATTGACAGATATTTTTATAAATACACTGAATACACAAATGTAACTGAAGGAAATATTTACCCAGTAGTGAAATATACAAATACAATACGAAACAAACTACATACTCAGCATTTTTTGGGGCAAAAATTGAGTACATACTTAAAGCTGCACTTTATCAGTTTTGGGGATTTGGAGACCTCTCTGTTGGAAACGTGTAACTGCACTCAGCTGTGTAAATCTGCTGATTGATTCAAAGAGAGCTCAGTCTAAACTCGGGGAAGGACGCGTCTTCTGAGGATGTGAGTGAATTATCAACTATTTTCATCACATCTTCATCAGTATAATGTTGATCTTGAGATCATTTGAGGCCTGAATATCGAGCTGGTCCTTCTTTTTGAACCTGTGTGTGACATTAATATGTAAAGACGTACGATGTGGTGTGAAAAGCTCCCGCCTTGATGTCTCTGACTTTTAAATGATTATTTCAGTCTTTACAGGGCGACTCTCAGCAACGCAGGCTCCCCATATTTTATTGTGTTCTTATTCTCCTCTCTCAGTATGATACTTTGTTTTATCAAACTTTTATCAAATCAGTTTTATCATCATGAAAATATGTATACATACACTGATCAGGCATAACATTATGACCACCTCTACGCTCATTGTCCATTTTATCAGCTCCACTTACTATATAGTTCCACTTTGTAGTTCTACAGTTACAGACTGTAGTCCATCTGTTTCTCTGATACTTTGTTAGCCCCCTTTTACCCTGTTCTTCAGTGGTCAGGACCCCCATGGACCCTCATAGAGCAGGTACTATTTGGGTGGTGGATCATTCTCAGCACTGCAGTAACACTGACGTGGTGGTGGTGTGTTAGTGTGTGTTGTGCTGGTCTGAGTGGATCGGACACAGCAGTGCTGCTGGAGTTTTTAAACAGGAGAAAGAAAAAAGCTTTAAATTTTAAACTTAATGTAAGAGTAAGATTTTATTCCACGTTATTTTGGAACGTTTCTGTTGGCCCATTTGTCATGAATATTGAGTGTAAAGGCCAGCTGGCGTTTTTACATTAAGTTAAAAAAAATAAAAAACTACAAAAACGGACATAGAAAGTTTTATTCTGACAGCAGAGACTGCTATATAAATATATTGATATACGTTAATATTGCCAGAGCAGCTGCCCTTTGGCTTCTATTACAAATGTGTTTTGAATAAACAGGTTTTCTGTGTGTTGAATTATTGTCTGTCCTAATTGACTGTACTTTACTGATGAAGCAAATGTGTGCATATCCTTCAGTTACTTAACAGGCATTAAGTACAAGTTATTAACTTTTCAGGAGATATTTATGAGATCTGATATGAGAAAATCCACTGGAATAAGGAAGGAGAAAGTCAATGTTAAAAAAAAGAATGATGATAATAGTGATGTTTATTTGTAGAGCACTTTTCATACCAGTGGCAGCTCAAAGTGCTTTACAGAGAGGTTATAAAGCTTAACAGTAATAGAACAAACTATGCGCACATATATATACACACATGCATGAACTCATACGCACACACAAATTTTATATATATATATATATATATATATATATATATATATATATATATAATGGTTATTGTGCTGTTGAAGGTCTGCGTGAATTTGGCAGCCTGTGTGCATACGTGTGTGTGTGTGTGTGTGTGTGTGTGTGTGCTGGTGATGTCCACCTGTCGGGCTGGGTGGGTTTGGGTGGGAGTTCAGTGTGTTCTGCTGGAATTAAACCCAGCTTGCGCACCACAGGGGTTCAGCTTTCATCCTCCTGCGCTGTCCTTTCCCTCTTTCATCCGTCCCTCGCTCTCACTCTCTCTCCCTCCTTTCATCTGTCCATCTCTGGTCAGTCTGTGTAGATTTACTGTCCACATTTACAGTGTGGGAGATAAATAACCCCATCAAAAGGAGCTCCATGAGAACGAGGAGAGGTTCTCTGCAAAAACCAAAGAAATTCAGGACAAACCTGCAGGACCAACAGACTGCAGACCAACGGACTGATCTGACTGATTCTCTGTTAAACAAAATATGTATAAGATATATATAAAATATATATAAAACATAGTTATTATTACTTAATAAAGACAGTGGTTCTATATAGAACCATGAACACTCAAATAATCATTTGCCTGCTTTAAATGGTTCTCTGCATGGTGAAATGGTTCTTCAGATTGATGGAGAATGTGTTGGTTCTGTATAGCACTAAAAAGGTGCTTTTATCAAGTTTGACACCGTAACAGTAGAAGAACCCTTTTTGTTGCTATATAGAACCATATACATCACATTCTCCATCTATCTGAAGAGCTATTTCACCATGCAGAGAACCATTTAAGCTGGCAAATAGTTCTTGGAGTGTTCATGGTTCTATATAGAACCACTATCTTTAGTAAAGAACCCTTGAATAGCCGTCTTTTTTAAGATTATATATATAGCATTATTATTATTACATGCATATCACTGCTGTCGGGACAAAACCTCATTTCTCCATTTTTGAAGTTTTTCAGGTTTTGACATAATTTGAAAATACCTGTTGCTCTTTACAGTGTGTATGAATTTCATGATCAATGGACCAAAAGAAACGGCCCAAAATGACTTGGAAAAAAGTCTGGTTCCACTGACTTACATTAAGAGTAAAGTATGTTTTTTCCTTCTCCTGTAAAGTTACCATTTTGGAGATACGAGGTTTTGTTCCGACAGCAGTGGTAGTTATATATATAATCCATATAGGACATATGTATGACCCTGTGACCTGGCAAGGTATAAACACAAGCCAGTGTGTGTTCTGGACCACATAAACTCCAAATCCTCGCATGACGGGCTGTTATGATGAACATGTGCTGTCTGAAAAATGACCTGACCCTCAGCTTTCCTCCTGACCGTCTGATTTATGGGTTTGTTTTGCTCTCTAAGCCGCCTATTAATGCGAGAACGATATGCTTTAACACAAATGGTTATTCCACTGAAAGTGAGGACAATTCAGTTTCCATTATATTGGCCCTTTTAGTTCTGGATCCGTTAGTCTTAGTCCTTAGTCCCTAAGTCTTTTAGTCTCTAGTCAGGACAGTGTCTGATTTCTTACCCTATTGGGTTTCTTCCCGAAGTATCTCTGGTTTGATGGGGTGATAAATCAAACGCGCCCAGTCAGTTTAATTGTTGGCGATGCTTTAATGAGAGTGTGGCGCTGTGTTGCAGCATGCTTTGATAAACGTTCTGTTCTTGGACCGCTGCGTGCGGATGTGATGCTGTGGTTGCCATGGAGATGGGTACACAGTCCTCGGGCTTTGCCTGTGGGGTCCAGAAGCTGGTGGTATCTTTTATTGCCGACCCGTGTGGGCACCGCAATCAGAGCGTCCAAACGAGTGTTTTTATGTGTTTTGATGCCGTAACTAAGCTGTGATTACACGTTTGGTGTTTTGGGGGATGCGCGGGTCGAGATGCCTCACATTCCAGCATTCTGCAGCGAAAACGGCAGTAAAATCTGACAGCTGTAATCAGATCAGCAGCTTTCACTGCCTTTGATGGCGTATTAATCAGTGTAATTTTACCTGGAGAGGAGTGGAGGACTGATGGAGAGGAGTGGAGGACTGATGGAGTGGAGGACTGAAGGAGTGATTGTGGAGGAGTGAAGGAGTAGAGGAGTGTTGAAGTGATGGTGTGGTGGTGATGGAGTGATGGTGGAGGAGTGAAGGAGTAGAGGAGTGTTGAAGTGATGGAGTGGAGGACTGAAGGAGTGATTGTGGAGGAGTGAAGGAGTAGAGGAGTGTTGAAGTGATGGTGTGGTGGTGATGGAGTGATGGTGGAGGAGTGAAGGAGTAGAGGAGTGTTGAAGTGATGGAGTGGAGGACTGAAGGAGTGATTGTGGAGGAGTGAAGGAGTAGAGGAGTGTTGAAGTGATGGTGTGGTGGTGATGGAGTGATGGTGGAGGAGTGAAGGAGTAGAGGAGTGTTGAAGTGATGGGGTGGAGGACTGAAGGAGTGATTGTGGAGGAGTGAAGGAGTAGAGGAGTGTTGAAGTGATGGTGTGGTGGTGATGGAGTGATGGTGGAGGAGTGAAGGAGTAGAGGAGTGTTGAAGTGATGGTGTGGTGGTGATGGAGTGATGGTGGAGGAGTGAAGGAGTAGAGGAGTGTTGAAGTGATGGAGTGGAGGACTGAAGGAGTGATTGTGGAGGAGTAATTGTGGAGGAGTGAAGGAGTAGAGGAGTGTTGAAGTGATGGTGTGGTGGTGAGGGAGTGGAGGAGTGATGGAGTGATGGTGGAGAGGTGGAGGAGTGATAGTTGATTAACTCTGAGCTGGGAGAGAGAAACAGAGGAGTGAGAGACATTTATTAATTACACTCACTCACTCTTTCATCTCTTCGTTTACCCACTCATTCATTCATTCATTCATTCATTTACACACTCGCTCATTCTTTCCCTCCTGCATTCCATTATGCGCTCGCTCGCTCACTCATTCATTTAAGCACTTGCTCTTTTATTCACTCATTCATTAATTTATGCACTCATTATTCATTCATTCATTCATTTACGCTCTCACATATTAATTTATTCACTAAATCATTCCTCATTCGTTCATTAATGCCTTCACTTATTCACTCACTAACTCATTCCCTTATTCATTCCGTTATGCTCTCACTCATTCGTTCATTTTAGCACTTGCTCTTTCATTCACTTATGCCCTCTCTTATTCATTTACTCATTCATTCTTTTACTCATATGTTCATTAAATCCCTCACTTATTCATTTACTCACTTACTCACTTATTTACATACTCACATTTATTTACGTTCACTCAGTCACTCC